AGGTAAGTGAAGTATAAAGGTTTCTTTTATTTAAAAGCACAGGCTGTGAAGGCTTATCAATTCATTCCTGGGATCTGTTCTTGTGATAACATCTTCCACTGTGGTTACTGCTGAGTTGTAGTGATACCATCTTTCAGGTCCTAATGTTACTTTCAGCACTGCAGGCACGAGATGCAGGGCTTGTGTATCTCGAGTACTGATAAGACTTTCTTCCTTTTTGAGATGAATACCCACAGAAATACATCAAGGACCACAAGTCCTAATATTGAAAGCCCCAATATGTCCTTTCACTCACAGAATGGGAAGTCTTTCTCCACCCATTCTATAACTTTAGAAATAGTTTTGAAGACAATGTATTTTAGATTTAAAGGCTGTAATGCAAAAATAGCTAAACCCTCACGTGTTTTCATAACAAAAGCTCTTACTCCTGAACTTAGAGGTCTTTATAATGAAATTATAAACCTTTGAAAATTGAATTAAAACAAAATTGGAAGAAGATAGCATGAATACAGCCCTGTAGTTTTCCTACTCTAGTTTGATTTTCTTCTCTTTTGATTGTAAACCAATTTGTATTATTTCACCTGTAGCATAGTGCATTTCATTTTTCTATACTGAATAAAATGAAAAAGCGTAAAACAAATGGAAAAACTTATCCTAACTGAAAAATAAATGTTCCTGTCCGAGAAATGTACTGATTGTTCTGGTCTAAGAGATTGTTTATCTTCCAAGGTGAGAAGATCTCTAACACCTGAGAGGTAATTACAAAAATAATGTGATAGATGCACTGTCAGGAAGCTTTTCTGTTCATCCTGAGATTGAAGATCTCAGACAAGAAAGCTGTCACTGGCTGTTCTTGCTCATGAAGATAAATATCATTTCAGACTGGAACTGCTGTGATTTACTTTGGGTTTTTAGAATGGTCTGTCACCCTGTTTTTTCTCCCACTCCTTCATCAAAGGCACCCCTCCAATCTGATGTTAGACAGACTGAGTGGAAAGATCCTGCATATCGACTTCGGGGACTGCTTTGAGGTAAATCTTTGTAGTTGGACATTAAATTTTCTGTAACATTTCACATTTTCTGGTAGAACAGCAATTAATCTATAAGCCAGGACAAACTGACCTTGGAGTCTGATCCTGGGCAAGCCCTTTGGCTCTTTGGAGCTTTGCTTTACCTACAGGCAAGATGAAAATAATAGGTACTTTATCTCAGAGGCGTGTCTTGGGGATTAGTTGACCACTGGAACAAGCAAAGAAGTGCTGGCATCACTTCCCTGAAATTTCTTGGAGCAATTTAGGCTGCTGACAGGCAGGCTGTGTTACCTGACAGTAGCAGCTGGGCATGTGCTGAGTTTTCCCTTTGCTATCAAGTTACTTATCTAGCTTCTCCCAAAAATTTGTGGAAACTGAGGAGCATAAATCTGTGACTTTTTTCCTATTTGGAATAAAGTCTTCAAGATTGTACCAAAAAGATCCCAATATTTAGTAACTTTTAAAGACTAAATTAGCTATTAATTGACTAATTCTCCATCATCATTTGTTTAGGTTGCAATGACAAGAGAAAAGTTCCCTGAGAAGATTCCATTTAGGTTAACAAGGATGCTGACAAATGCTATGGAGGTAAGCATCCCCTCTTTAATATGAAGGGGATTGTTCCTGAGGAAAATGGCACCCAATTCCCAGTTTTTCCTCTATTTTCTGTTGTGGCTAAACTTCTCCACACCTTAAGAACCAGAGGTGTTAATATTTCAGGTGCATTTTCTGAAACCACAGTGAATTCCAGTTCAAAGCCACTTCTTGCTCCCTGAATGTTGGGGTTGGAGTTGCACAGTGAATGAAGCAGTGGTGGACTCACCTCTTTCTCTTCCCCAGGTGACAGGCCTCGATGGCAACTACAGGATCACCTGTCACACGGTGATGGAAGTGCTGCGGGAACACAAGGACAGTGTCATGGCTGTGCTGGAAGCCTTTGTGTACGATCCCTTATTGAACTGGAGGCTGATGGACAGTAAGTGACTGAGAAAACACTGGCAGCAAGAGAGGAATCGCTCTGATTTCATACAAGAAATTCAATGTCTATCTGAAAACAATCTGATGAAATTGTTCATTTCCATGTGCTATTTCTCGGTGCAGCTTTGAGGATTTTAATGTGAAATTGCGACAGAGAGCGGGAGATTGAAATTATTTTCATGTGGCATCAAATCTGGAGAAGGAGAAATCTATATTGTTTGTTGACAGATTTGCTCTGAAACACTGAAACTCCAGTTCATGCCTTTCAACTCCTTTTCTTGCAGCAAATACAAAGGGCAATAAGCGCTCACGGACAAGGACAGACTCCTACTCAGCCAGTCAGTCAGTGGGTGAGTAGGAAAGATGGTGGATGTCACAATTATGCTTTTCAAATGAGATGATTAACAGTTTTGTTGATGTTTCTGGGAGAATATTTTAGCTGCTTTTCAACTTCAAATTTATGTTTTTGTGGGTTTTTTTTTTTCAATAGAAATGTTGGACAGTGTGGAACTCGGTGAGACATCCCATAAAAAAACTGGGACCACAGTGCCTGAATCCATCCATTCCTTCAGTAAGTTTCTTTGTTGTTTCTATACTAATGCAGAAATTGTTCTTAGATCAGAAAATTTCGTCATGATCCAAATGCCATTACATGAGTTGGGACAGATACAGTTCCTTGTCAGCATAAATGAGGAATATAATTACCTGTGTTCTCAACTCCCAACAAAAAGGTGATAGAAAATGTATCTAGGTTTGCTCTCAAAATGGCATTTGGGCAGGGCACATCTAACAGCAGTACAAATGCTTTTATTGTTCAGGTGAAGTCCTAATTCTCTTTCCTGTTTCTGTCTTTCAGTAGGAGATGGTCTGGTGAAACCAGAAGCTCTAAATAAGAAGGCAATTCAGATCATCAACAGGGTTCGAGATAAGCTCACTGGTGAGCACGTTTTTATGTTATATAAAATAAACATAAAATCTGATGAGAGGGATCAGCACTACCCTTAGTGTTTGTATTTTGTGTTAATCCTTGAATTTAACATGTTCTGATTAAGTGGACGAGGCCATTTGCCTGTTCTTGTCTAACACCCAAGGACTGGTGCCTGCATTTAGATTGAAATGAGCCTGCTTTGAAAAGTACAGAGGTGTTTGTAACTGCACAGACTTGCATGTCTTAGCTTGTTCAGTGGAAGTTGAATTTCCACTGTCCTGGCTTTATAGTTTGCAGCATTTGGTTGCAAAATTTTACACTCTTATAATTTATAAGAAACTGCCCCCCCCACCTGCCAAATAATGTATCTGAAGGGATTAGAAGCGGGATTTGTGACTTCACTGATGTGTTTTTTCACAGGTCGGGACTTTTCTCATGACGAAACTCTCGATGTCCCCACACAAGTGGAATTGCTCATCAAACAAGCGACTTCTCATGAGAACCTGTGCCAGTGCTACATTGGATGGTGAGTTTGTCGCTCAGCTGAGCTGGCAAAACTCTTCTGGAATAATCTAACCGTGTGGTTAGTTATTTGTAGGAGCCTTAGCACATCCTGCATCTGCTCTGGTAGATTTTGCGGTCATGACAGCGATGCCATAGACAGTCCTCTAGGAAAGCTCTTTTATAAGGAGTGACAGGGATTTTAGAACATTTTCAGTGTTTGCAATGAGGAATGTGATGGTCACAGTTACAGTGAAGAAGTGTTATTTATTTTACTTATTTTTACTGTCATTTTGAGGGTTAGCTTTGAACGATGCTGGACAGAATAGGTCTCTGTTGTTTTTAAACTTTAGCAGGAAAGAAGTATTGGGGGGATCACCTGACAATTTTCCCTAAGCTAAAATAGTGCCTAATTAGTATGGAATCTCGGTCCTTCTCAGTGTTGCCTTTGTGAAACTCCATACAAGTCAGCATTATTACAATATCTTTATTTTCTTTAGGTGTCCTTTCTGGTAACGGAAGATTCCAAAGTATCCACAGCCTTTTATTCTGGAGGCTTTTGCACTCCAAACTTGCTCTTCTACAAACACAAACTGAACCTTGGACTGAAATACAGCCTTTGTCAAATATTTTTAAATGTAAATGAAAAGAGTTATTGTATATTAAAAGTTGGTTTAAGCCAATGTATAGCTGCTGTCGGAAAAAGAAAAAAAAAACAAGCTGTCTGAAACACAACACTTGATTTGGGTTTCCAGGACAGCGAAGACTGATTGTACCACAGATGTCTATGGTTCCACTTGGTCTTTGGGGAACTGGTGATCCATTGAAAATAACTATATACGGGTTTTGACTTACTTTGCAATGTAACTAAGTCACTTGCAGATGAATTATTGCCCTGATCATTCCTGTTGATGTGGCTGCAATGAGCTCAATGCACTTGTCTGGGGGTGAGCTGGATAACTGGAAAGAGAAGCAGAATTTTACCATTGTTTCATCCTGTACCTTGTTTTCAAACTTGATTCTTGCCCCAAAATTGGAAATTGTCTATCTGCTCATTACATTAGTGCAGGAGTCATGTTTCAGATTAGATCAGGGTATCAAGGTTTGAAGACCTTGAGCTGAGCGAAGTCGGTGCCTCTGTGCAGAGTGATCCGTGGCAAACTGGGTGCAGGGTACAAATAAATACCACTTGGGAGCTTCCCACAGTGTCTGGGTTAAAAAGCAGTGTTGGGAAATAACTAGGGAAAGTTAGGGCTTGGCCTAGGAGGCAGATGGGGGGGGAGAACTGGTCATAACTTGAAACAGAAAATAATGGTTATTAAACGTGAGGGTGAAGATAAAGTTATGATTTATGAATTAAACATATTAAAAACAATGCACAAAATACAACAGAGTAGCCATGTTTAGATGCCATGTTGTATTTGAATATTTTTGTGCCAATAAATTACACCGAAATGTAAAGACTTTGGCTGTGTTCCTGTTTATTCCAAAATATTTTTTAGGCAGAGAGAGGGAAGTAGATTAAGATTCTTTTTTTTTTTTCTTTTAAGGTGTCTATTGCCATTGACTTGTCTTTTTGTGCATCAGTTCAGGCTTTATTTCCCTTCTGATGGCAGCTGGATGCAAAATTACCAAGACTGAATGAAATCTGTCGCTTGTATAACAGAAACTTGACCGTAGAACCCCTAAATTTTTGTCTCCAGGAGATGTGATGCTGTCTGTGCAGTAAGAACATCAGCGTGCTGGGTCTCAGGGTCACAGCCACAGCTCGAGGGACAGCGTGGGGTGTTGAGCAGAGTTCCCTGGCCTCCTCCAGGTGCTGTACCTCAAAAATGGGAAACAAGGAGGTGGCGGTCAGGAATTTGGGTGGTATTGCCCCTGCCTCCTTTCCAGGCACTGGTGTGGCTGTCAAGGGGACTGAGCACCACAATATAAGAAAGTTATTAAGCTTTTAGAGAGTGTCCAAAGGAGGGCAGTGAGGGTGAGGAAGGGCCTTGAGGGGAAGCAGCTGAGGGCACTTGGTCTGTTCAGCCTGGAGGAGGCTGAGGGGAGACCTCACTGGGGTCTTCAACATCCTCATGAGGTAAAGAGGGGCAGCACTGATGTCTTTGCTTTGTGACCCATGACAGGACCCAGGGGACAGCTGGAGCTGTGTCACGGCAGGGTCAGGTTGGATCTCAGGAAAAGGTCCTTCCCCCAGAGGGTGGTTGGCACTGAACAGGGTGGTTGGCACAAAACCCCAGGGTTTTGTCACGGCCCCAAGGCTGACAGAGCTCCAGGAGTGTTTGGACAATGCTCTCAGGGACAGGGTGGGATTGTTGGGGTGTCCTAGGCAGGGCTAGGGGTTGGACTGGATGATCCTGGTGGGTCCCTTCAACTCAATAATCTGTGATACTGTGGCTCCCTGGTGGTGCTTTTGAGAGGAGACAGGGCCGGTGTCCCCCCGCTCAGTGTCCCCCCTCAGGGCCTCCCATCCCACACGGGGGCTGGTCCCGTCCCGCCGCTGGGGGGCGCCACCGGCCCCTCCCCGCCGCTCTCCCCCGCCACCGACGCCGCGCTCTCGCGAGAGCGCCCAGTTCTCGCGACAGCTTCACGCATCAATATGGCGGCCGCCGTGCGTGAGGGGAGCCCGGCGGGGCAGGCGGGCGGCGCCGGGACACCCGCGGACAGCGGGACAGCCAGCGCCATGCCGACCCTACCCGGCTTCGACAGCCCCGATGCCTTCGTCAAGGTGCGTTGGGGGAGCCCGGGGGGGAGCGGGACGGCCGCCGCCGCCCCCGGCGTGCGCGTGCGCTTGGGCCATGCCGGGAGCTGTAGTCCGGCCCCGCGGGGGCTGCGGGGAGACCCCCGCCCGAATGGTGACACCTGTGGGGAGTCCCCCTGCGCGGGAGGGAGGGTGCGAGCCGGTCCTGCGGGTGCGGGGGCCGAGCGGTGCGTCGGGGCCTGTTACCGCCTGGCTCGGGCCCTAGTCCTATCACCCACCTGGAATTCCTGGGGACCTTCGGGAGAGCCTGTGGCACGGGCATTACTTCACCTGGCGTTACAGATCGCAGCGTCAGTCCAGGTGTGTTTCACGTGTGCACGATGCTGCTTCTAGAGAGGGAACGTCTGCCAGTTCCCAAGAAGGAAGCGTTGCAGCATTTGGGGTTTTTTTGTTAAAATAATGAAGTCATTACGTTCCTACTGATTTAGAGTCACAGAATATACTGAGTTGGAAGGGACCCACAAAGACCGTCCAGTCCAACTCCTGGCCTTGCACAGACACCCCAACAATCCCATGCTGTCCCTCAGAGCGTTGTCCAAACGCTCCTTTGAGCTCTGGCAGCCTTGGTGCTGTGCCCACTGCCCTTGGGAGCCTGGTCAGTGCCCAGCCACCCTCTGGGGGAAGAACCTTTTCCTGAGATCCCACGTAACCCTGCACTGACAACTTCAGGTCATATCTGTAATGCTAGACTGAGTTACAGATCCTGTTCTTAGACTTTAATTATCTTAAGTTCTCCAAATAGTCCATGCGAACTTACTCTTGGTGAAAAGCCCCACGATACCACACAATAGAACCACGCAGGTCAAACCAGCCAGGCAGGACGCATTTCTCTCACAGGGTACACTGGGCAAACAGGAACAAAATGCTGATAACGTGGTGTTCTTGCACAGTACGCCCTGGGCACGGTGGTGGCTGCAACAAAGGCATCCAACGGGCTCCCCCAGCCTGGCGACGAGTACGATTTCTACCGCAGCTTCCCCGGCTTCCGCGCGTACTGCGACACGCAGGGAGACCGCCTGCTCCGCTGGTAAGGGCCTGCTGCCCCTCCCCATGCCCCCAGCAGGCAGCCCCCTCCTCTGGGAACTCCATGCTTTGCTGTAGGTAAAACAGTGTTTTACTTCACACCTGATTTTAGCTGCTCTTCTAGCCCCGTGACAAGCTTAAAGAGGGCCTTTCGTACTGATCGCCATGAAGAGCTGTGGCAGAGGGGAGCAGCTGACTCCAAACAAATTAGTCCGTTTTAAAAGTCGTGGTGTGGTTTGTGAGAAATTAATTCTGGCACTTAATACTGCATAGGTGCTTCTCCTTTTCACTGCTCATGTGATGATATCTACGGTTTGATTTGTTTTCAAACTTTGAAGTGCAGAAAGTTGAAGAAAGCTGGATGTTTTAGGATTGAGATTGCCTGCTCACAGATTGCTGACAGCTGTGCTGTTCTCTTGCAAGCATGAGCCAGGTGATGCAGTACCACGGCTGCCGGAGCCTCCTGAAAGAGTCCAGCAAAGTGACAGGGCTGGAAGATAAATTTGATATGCTGGTTGACTCCAACGATGTCATTCTTGAAAGAGTGGTAAGCAAATTATTTCTGGATGTGGTTCTTATAAACTGTTCAGTTCCCATAACTTTTTTCATTGCAAGAGTTTCAGTGGTAGTGCTTTCACAGTTACAGTTGGTATTTCCTCAGTCTGGTGTTTTCCCTTATTTTAAAACCCTCTCCATGTGCTGGGCCAGAGCTCCCAGCAGCTGAGGCAGGTGGGTTATGGGCCAGAGGGAGGGACTGCAATATGTGACTTGTGAGGAAACTAAATACAGTTTGGCACAAAACCCTCACAACCTGGGAACAGGTCTGTACATTTTAGAGCTGCTTCTCTGAGGAAACTCTTCCCACCCTTGATGGCCAGCATGCTCCTCCCACATTGTCTGTCTTGTGTTGTGCAGAATTTGGGGGAAATGGCAGTGGAGGTACCTACCTGTGTGACTTTCTTTACTCGATCTGACCAAAGTGGCTGAGTGTGGTAATTTAGCAGGTGTTTCACGTTGCTTTTCTGGGTTTTAGAGTATTTTATTGGATGAGGCATCCGGAGTGAACAGAAACCAGCAGCCAGTCCTGCCAGCTGGGTTACAGCCCCCACAGATGATCGTTTCCAGCTGGAACCGTAAGGTGAGGCCCCTGTGCTCAGCTTGCTGTGTTAGCTCAGCTCTTCTCCCAGCCTTGGCACTACTAATTCTCCAGTGGAGTTCAGTAGTTAAATATTCTCTCATGTTTTTTTCACACATTCTGAGTCCCTCCCTCTTTTTTCCCTTTTCTTGTTCATTCAGACTTGATTCTGGATTCTCTGTGCTTTCACTTGCCATTTCAGTGTCATGTACACCACAGCCCTTCCTGTGCTTATTCATATGGATTCAGGATCCTGATTCAGAGAACTCTCATTCCTCAGTGCTGGACTTGCTGAGAAAAAGTGACTCAGTTTTGAGCGTGGGGTATAACTTCGTTTCTCTGAATGTTGGGTCAGGCTGAGTAGGAGAAACTCTGAATGTCTGTTAAGTCATGTGAGTTTTACCTGTGGTTTTTTAAACAGGCAGGAGAATTCCACAAGAGAACTCAGTCTGAAACCTTCCGACTGCTTCATGCCAAGAATATCTCTCGACCGCAGCTTAAGTTTCGGGAGAAGATTGACAACTCCAACACTCCCTTTGTCCCTAAACTTTTTATCAAGCCAAATGCTCTGAAACCTTTGCCTGAAGGTAAGGAGATTATTTTACTTGGGTGACCTGTTGAGAGTATGTGACACAAACCTGGTCCTCACAGTCTAGAGGAGAAATCATTGACTGTAAAAACACATAACGGGAGATGTTGAGCATTTGGGTGTAGTGAGCTCTGTGACTCTGTTTACTTGTCTAATGTAAGAGTAGATCAACATACAGCATCTTCTTGTTGGTATACAGCAAATAATCTGTCCCAAACAGATATTGTGCTCTTTACCACCACTGAACATACACCAGAGTCACTTTTGCCTCAGAAGTCTTGACCAATCTAGTTGACTTTACAGATGTTCTTTCAAATGAGTGAGGTGTGTGGGGAGACCCACCTTTGCTTTGGGTGATTTACCACAGCCGCTGTGTAACACCCTATTTTGGTAACATTCTGCTGCTGATGGTTCATCCATAATCTCCACTGATGCCACTGTACTTTTAATAACTGAAGATTTTTCAATCTCCTTCCAAGCTTTTGAGCAGAACCACCTTGTGTCTTGCTTAACAGCAACCTGGTAACTGAGTTGTCATTCGAGGTGCTGACAGCAAAAGCTGCAGCTCTAAATTGTTAAGATTTTTGATGCTTTGTGGTTTTAGTAGGATCTCGTGGTGGGTGGAGGGGAGAGAGTAGTAGGCTGAGAACGTGTGATGTGGGGGACCCAGTCCAGTTATTCCATATTGGTTGTTCAGCCCTCACAAAAAGTGGACGGCAGCGAAAGGAGCGCCCTGAGGACTTGGACGTGCCAGCTGCCTTGGCAGACTTCATACATCAGCAGAGGACGCAGCAAACTGAGCAAGACATGTAAGAAATGAACCTGGCAGCGAGGTGCTGGGAGCCCCCCGGGTGGACCTGTGCCCGTGTGCTCCCACCACGCTGGTGCTCGCCGTGTGTAACAGCTCTGCATGTGTTTGTGCCCACACTGCAGTGTGTGTGATTTGCTTTAGACCTCTGCAGTTACATTGAACCCGTGCTTAATAACAGGCAACATTTCTGCCGGAAAGGGAAACTGCCGTAGGTGTCAAAGTCTCTGTGCTCTGGCCTCATAAAGGTGGCTGGGATTTAGCCTGTGCTTATCTTCCTAATTTCCACAGGTTTGCCCACCCTTACCAGTATGAACTGGAGCATTTCTCTCCACCAGATGGAGTTCTCAAGAAACCAGAACTCCAGGTTGGTGCCCACTGTAATTTGCAGCTGCAGCTGCAGTACATTTACAGCCATACTTGACAAATTTCAGATCTGAGGGTGGAGGTGGGGGTGGGAGTTGACAGAGAACATACCATGCCTAATTCATGTGCTCTGCCAGATGTACAGGCCCATGGAGGAAACACCCTGTCACTTTATCACCACACTGGATGAGCTGGTAGAACTGAATGAAAAGCTTATGAACTGTAAAGAGTTTGCCCTGGATTTGGAGGTAATCAAATCGCCTTTTCTGCTTAAAAGTTACACGTGTACTTTTAGGACCTAGGAGACCATTATATTCTTCTAGTCTGTTTTGTCATTTTCTGGGTTTTTTTGTACTTTTTGACATGAGAGTTGAATGAAAGTTGAATTAAATAGTGTCAATACTATAAGTTTTCCAGTCGTTGGACTGGCTGCCCACTTCTAGCTGAATTTGATCTTCTTTCAGTTCATCCCATGGTTTTTTTATGTCATCTTAATGACTGCAAAGAGAAAGTTTGATTATCCAGTTGTCTTTTTTCTTAAAGAAGTCCTTTCCTTCCTTCATTTGGGGTGCTGTTTGTTTTATGGCATTACTTCTGTAATGAATCCTAGTTTACACCTCTCTTCCCCACTTTCAGCACCATTCCTACAGGAGCTTCCTGGGCTTGACATGTCTGATGCAGATTTCCACTCGAACAGAAGATTTCATTATTGATGCCCTGGAGCTGCGCAGCGACCTGAACATCCTCAATGAGACCTTCACAGACCCTGCCATTGTGAAGGTCAGCTGCCAAACTCACCACAATTCCCTTTTTTATTATCATTATTGGTTTAGTTTAAGTTTTATTATACTTAAAATCACACTTGGCTCTGCTCTCACTGTCATTTGTTCATGGACCTCTTTCCTCGATGTAAGTGGTGAACTACTTGCCAGTTGCACTCCTTGAGTAGTTCTGTACTTAACAGTAAAGGACAGAGAAAAGAAATCTCATCCTAGACACATGAATATGAAAACACAGCACCACCAGCCTGGAGTAGAAATGTTCTTTGTATCATTCCCAACTTGTTTTGCTTTTCAAGGTCCTTCATGGTGCTGATTCAGACGTGGAATGGCTGCAGAGAGACTTTGGTCTGTACTTGGTGAACATGTTTGATACTCACCAAGCTGCTCGGCTCCTCAATCTTGGCAGGCATTCTTTGGAACACCTGCTAAAGCTGTATTGCAGTGTAGATGCTGACAAGAAGTACCAGCTGGCTGACTGGAGGATACGGTAAAAACTGACCCCTAAATGGGCTGGAGCTGCCAGGTAGCTCTTTCTCCTTGTTTGCACTGCTAGAGCTTCTAG